GCACATGATAGCATAAATTATATTTCTGGATGCGCAGGAATATGTGTTCTTGATCTTATAACTCACTTGGTTAGGTCCAATAATGGTATCAGCAGAGTGAATATGTGGACAAAGCTGCCATTAGCTCACAGACATTTACCTTCCCCCCGCATCCCTCTTCTGTTCTGAAATTTGATTTGTCCTTTTCATAAGTGTTCACTTTTTTTTAATTGTTTTTTTTAATTGTATCCTTTGGCATATATGGTTGTGACTATTTTCTTCCACTATTTGATCTGAGGGAGTGGGTCTGGCTCATGAAAGCTCATCATCTAATAAACTATCTTGTTAGTCTTTAAAATGCTAAGCAAGACATGATAGATCTTGAGCTAGTCTGATATTGATTTAAAATCTGGGTTAAGTTTGTATAACTCAATTTCCCTTGTATATAATGACTCAGTTGTGTCCTCCTTTAAAGAGCTAAATATGGGTAATCTGACTTTCTTAAGTGGTTATTTGTGTCATGTGCATTTGAAGTGATGCATTTTGACTTGTTTCTTTTCTGTTACTCTTCAAAAGTGCACACGTTCTCCTCAGTTCTCTCCAGACATCACACTGCACTACAAAGAGTGGGAGAGTTCCAATAATTGGCAGTTAATATGTCAAACCCTGGCAATCTCTGCTGTAGATTTCCTGTCTCCTCCTGGGATCCAATCACTTAATATTTATACCCCAATTTTTCCCATCTATAAAAAAAGTGATTAAGCTACTCTGTCACCAGGATGGTGGCAAGATATTATCATTAATGTTTGTGGTGTGTTCAGATGCTATGGTGAAAAGAGCCATTGAGAAGACTTTAAATAAAACAAAGGGAAATGGATTATATATTTAATAGAGGATTATAAAGCCAGGATGAAAATTAATTGAGACTGGGTCCCTACTAACAATATGGGTTGAGATCATTATGCAGTGGTAACAATACAGCAGAACAAAATTTCCGTAAATTTTAATTGAAATAATTTTGCATTGATATTCTTTTATTGTATTGATGTTGTCACAAAATCTGAATTCAAATGGGTTATGTTTTCTATTGTAAATTGTAATTATAGAGGCATGTTGTAAGAGTTTAGGCATAATTCTGATTGAGAGCTTTGGCTGTCAAATTTTTCCATTTTTCTAGAACTCCTCCAAGACTACTGAATGAAAAGAACAATTGTGTCTTAAAGCTGTTCTCCTCCTTTTGGAAATTATTTCCTTCATTTCCTTGTAGTCAGATCACATTTCAAAATACCAAAAGGTGGATTTAAGTGTTTTCCTAAAATGTAGAGAGTGCCCATTCTGTCTACTAGTGCAGTAGGTTCATGGTTCCCTAGGAATCCCAAAGGCAGGTGGAAGGCGAGTGCTGTGAAATCTGTCCCTTTCACTGTCCCTTTCCAGGGTGAGTGGAAGAGAGCAGTTAGGAATTCTCTTCTTCTACTTCACATTATATAGCCTTTTAGAAAATGTAATGAACAGCCTAATGTTGCACTGGAAAGCAGTAAACAAGACTACCAAGCCTTGGCCCATATCAGCAAGATCTTTGTCTGAGATTCTCATTAAACTTACTTGTTCTATGAATGAAACTAAACAAAGAAATGTTGATGAGTCTTCAGTGGTTTCTTATTTAACATTTTTAAAAATTGACTTGTGCCAAGTTAATCTCAGAATAGTATAAATTGACAGTCAGAGATATTGGAGGATATTGAAAGACAAGACAAGTCAATATGTATCTATTTCTTTTTGAAATGCTTTATGATGGCTTTAAGGAAGGATATTAAAATCAGTATCTGGTCCAACACCTGGACACACAGTTTTGATTGTGGAAGAGCACTATGTATGCTTGTGTAATCATTCCAGACTTCATGGTGACCTTTTGGTGAGTATTACAGATATTTTGTTTTCTCTCTTTCTCTCTAGAAGATTAAAATAGCGGCGTTGCGCATGTACACTTGCTGTGTGGAGAGAACTGACTATGAGGAATTCTTTCACAGTAAGTTATTAGTCACTAGGATATTAGAATCCTAGAGTGTCCCCCAAATGACATCAGGGCTGACTAGAACATGGAGTAGCCAGTGCCTGTGACAGGTGGGTCAATTACATTCCTCTGTGTAGTGGGGAAAGGACTGACTAGAACTTGGGTCTGTTGTGCCTCTCCCCTAATTGTCCTGCCATAGCAGAGGTGCCTCTCCACCCTTTCTGTAAGTCTGGAGCAGACTGTAGAAACTGAATTTGCTGCTACCATCTCATTCTCCCTACACTTTCTGCACTGTGGGGAGAGTTTGTTTGAATTCTAAGATGTGGCCAGACAGAACCCAGAGTGATCCATCCATGAGGCTGTCTAAGACCTGAAGGTGTTCCTCCCCTGTGGCTTGGACTGGGATGACCCTTCTTCACTGTGGTGGGGCTGAGACAGCTAGCTTCTGGAGACACACACATGAGAGCTGTCTGTCTGTCTGCATGGGAGACAGGGTATTTGCACTGTGTTTTTTCATGCTTATTTGAATTGTCAAAAAACCTGATGGAAATTGCATATACAGTACATTTTCTGAGAACTAAGATTTACAGTTAACTCTGAAAATCTGGGCAAACATTATCTTGGCTAAATTAATTAGTTTTGGTATTTTATATATGCTCATGACACAAAAGTTTTCCTTTCTTTTCATTTTAATTGGGTCTCTCAATCTCTATTCAGCAGAACTTTTACTTAATTTTATAGTGATGATGGGTAAAATTTAGAAGAAAAATTCAGAACATAATCAATATTAATAAGTGAAGACCTCGGTACTTTTCATCACCATGTAATTTTGGCAGATCTCCATGTCCTCTTCTGGACTCATTTCTGGATGGGTACAATTTTCACATGGCAACCATTTTGAAATTTTTAACTGGAGAGCATTAAGACTAAAAGTTTGTGTGGAGTTTTTTATGTTTAGTGTCATTGTAACATATTTTTGATTAGGCCAGTAGCATAAAAAAGCATGCAGTCCTTTTAAAATAATTTACAAAACTGAGGATCATGTGAAAATGAGAGAGAGTCACACAGAGAAGGCAAAAGGTGGAAAGGGTGAAAATACTGTAAAAGGGATTAAACAAGACAGAATGAGAGGAAAAATTTTAAACAGTGAGGCAAGAAAAATAGGCAAAAAGAGAAAATGGAGTATCACATGAGAAAGTTTTAAACCCTCAAGAAAGGAAAAAGAGCCTATAGCCTGTTACAGGTCACATGGCAGAAAGAGAGTCAGCCCCAGACAAATCAACCTCTTCACTGAGCTAGTGAGAAGATATTCTATAGACATTTAATAGAATATCAAAATAAATGTGTTTTCCTGAGCCAGTGAAAAGTTTGTCTAAAGCCATTGCCTTTTAGGAACTTGTGACAGGTGTCTTGATTTTCCTAAATCACTATGTATATAGCAGGGTGGGGTTTTGTATGTGTGTGTGGGTGTGGGTGTGTGTTTTTAATCTAAGGATGTTTCATAGCTGAAGCAACATGCCCTTTCCTGCAATAAAAGAAATTTTAAATTTTAGACTTGGAACTGAAATATCATGCCCCAATTAGAGATATTTTGTTTAAACAAGAGAATGAGATGAAAACTGCAAGTTTTTGTGTTAGGGATAATGTGTAGAAAGACTTTAAAACTAGTGCTTTGAAAAGCTTTGCTTAAATAGTTTCCAAGTATGCAAAAATAACCAAAAACTACTCTAAAGACTTATTACTGTATACAAAACACACACAGTCTAATTTGAGAGGCTAGTTTAAATGGATTTGTGAGAATTGATAGCATTTTTATCTCTGGTAAAGTATTATTTCTTCCTGACTTTAAAAAAAAAATCCAAATACTGTTAAATATAATCACACATAGTACAATTTTAACAAACTTTTTAAAGATTGTGGAATCTTCATCACTGGAGATATTTAAGAGCAGGTTGGATAGATATCTATCAGGGATGTTCTAGATGGTGCTTGGTCCTGCCATGAGGCCAGGAGACTGGACTTGATGACTTCCTAAGATCCCTACAAGTTCTAATATTCTATGATTCTAAGATTAACATGAAAAGCAGGGCATTGATAAATAGTTTGTAGCATGCACTTCTAAAGGGAACCTGGGACAGAGGAAACAGCATTGTTATGTGTAAGTGAAACAGCTTTGTAGCTGTCAGACACAAAACCTTTTAAAGGTAAAATAACCAAAATCCATGTCTTAAGGATATTTTGTAGAGGGCTAGTGAAATAAAAATGATGTTTTAGATGGGCTTTTTTTTTTTAAATACAGGCAGTCCCCCGGGTTACGTACAAGATAGGGACTATAGGTTTGTTCTTAAGTTGAATTTGTATGTAAGTCGGAACTGGCTCCAGATTCAGCCGCTGCTGCTGAAACTGACCAGGGGCTGAATACAGGAACCCTGAGGCAGAGTTGCTCTGCCCCCAGCTTCCTGGAATCAGCCACTGATCAGTTTCAACAGCGGCTGAATCTG